TCGAAGCGCGGCGTATGCCTCGAGCTCCGTCAAGACATAGTTGATCTACGCCCAACATAAGATGAAGCAAATTGGTAGCTACAAGGCACCGCACCATGTTGTCCGTGAGCTGGAGGCTCGGATGAACGTCCTTCTGCTGTTCATGTATCTCTTCTATCCACCTGGACCGGATCTTCTCGTCGCGGAACTTGACATGCCAGCCGGCCTTCTCGCGAATGGAGGTACTCAGTGCGCACATCCGCAGCTCCACGAGCGTGCGAGGAGTATCAAGGTCTGGCGGATCAGGTTCGTCAAAGTCGTAGTAGTCGAAGTCGGCTCCATCGGTGAACGGGTGCGGGAAGCGGCCGCTCTCTATACCGAAGTCCTTCAGCTTGTCAGCAGTGTGCCCAGGTACTGGGGATGACATGTTCGGCGTGTTGTATCAGACCAGAGAGATATTAAATAGGATCACTGAAGGGCTTTCTCCGTTCATGATCAGGGGAGTGAATGAAGCTGATCACCGATGCATCGGACCCGGCAGATGATCATGAACCATACCATGCCCTGCCGCGCCCTCGCAAGACATAATTGCCCACGGTGAGTCGACCCAGATAACAAAAACGCGAGAGACGTGGAGGCCCAGACTCAATCTATCGTTAACATGGGCCTCAAGCGATTTACATACTTGCCTACTGAATCGAGGAAGACTTGCCAAGCTTGAGAGCACCGGCGCGCGCGAGTCCGCGACTCGCGATCGGGTTGTGGCCATGGGCGCGACATTTGCGCGACAGCGAGTCAGCGACGGTCAACATCAGTGATCAGTGACTCTGCCGAGCGCGTGCCCGACAAGGCCTGACAATGGTCTAGAAGGGTCTCTGCACACGACACGCGGGAAACGCATAGTGACTCGACTTCGAATTCAATCTTCCACAGTGAGTCGTAACACTCAGGTTGAGTAGGAATGAGCGAGGTAGCATGACTCTGAAATACGAGCTGGGCCTGGACATATGCAAGTATGGCACATCCTGGGCCTCTGAACAGGTGTCGTGGCAGGCAAGAAAGGGTTATGCAACGGGACCCACCTAATCGAGAACAATGAGTGTCTGTGGACAGCTCCATCCTGCCATATATGTTGCGAATCACGAATGGCAGTGCGCCTAACGCCGAAGACACCTCATCACGATGTCGGAGCAATCGAACACGCCAACGACAGCGGGGCACTGTTGCAACCGTCGCCCGCTCGAGAGGTCCAGGCCGCTTCAGCCACTTCAGTGCCGTAGTGCCCGACCGTATCCGTAGCGCCGCCCACTAGATTTTAGGCTGTTGTGGGCCACCACGGGTACGGCAGTACAGCATTCAATCATGGGAATGAAGGGCACAGGTTGAGCGTGATGTAAACCAGATTATAAATGAACTTCGAGCCCAGGGGACAGTGAAGACAATACACACCTTCGGTGAAGCCCCCGTATCGGTATGCCTATTCTTGCACACACCGGACTCATCACCCTTACCCTCACGCCTGATGACCCATGTGACACAACAATCACTGCGGGTGACGGGAGGGTGCTCTATGTCGTACGAAGCAAGGACAGAACGGATGGCACCCAAACAGAGGTGTTCAATGCGGAGAAAGCTGTCATAGCATCACTGCAGCGGTCAGACACCAGGAGCCATGCGTGGAATGTGACGTATTGTCACCAGACAGTGGAACCACTGCACAAGTGGATGCGCAATAGTATCAATCCCATAAGCAGGTGCGACAGTGGCTGATGTCGCTCATGAATCTGACTGCATACCGGAGGCCACGAATTAGGAGCAGGTGGTTCAAGGACGAAGTCGGTCGGCAGTATAAGTGGAAGGGGCAGCCAGCGGGGAGCACGCGCGAGGTACGACAGTGTCTTACTCACCTCTGACAACCCAAGACTCTGGCTGAGCACAGCGCACATCCACCCAGCTGTACACGAAAGATGACGGCTACAAGCAACCTATTGCCACCTTCCACAGATCTCGGTCGGATCGAGGATCCAAGCGGTCGAAGGCCGTTCCAGCACAGCTATGCCTCTCTTATCGCGCCGAACAAATCAGGGATCTAGTAGTGTGCTCTTTCTTATTCCTGGAGCAAGAGAAGCGAGCTCTTGATGAGTTGCACCCGGTGTCATTACAACTGGCAGGCATTGGGCTGTCCGCGAACACAACAGGAGGACTTGCATCATTTTGACGGTCCCAGGCCAGGGTGCTAGATAGTGCGGCTGGTGGTTGGCACGGACGATTTACGGCAGAAGGAAGATCTCAGTTATTCTGTAATTTATCGCGTGTATAATAGCCACGGTGAAGAAGACGCGTAGCACAGAAAGCGTGAAGAGAAGTCGCCAATGCGTTCTCGAAAGAGGAAGTTGGGGCTTTGAATCCTAACAAGAGCAAATAAGAGATATGACCTCAGCCACAACAGTAGCGCTTGGTTTGTCGCTGTACTTCGCTCAATTTCGTTGCTTTTGCATGCAATTGTTCGATCTCACAGCACTGCTTCATGAAGGGATTGCCGAATCGGGTACCTATCCAAAAAGCACTGCTACGCACCGTCCATTGGCGGGCATGACGACTTCTGCGTCACTACGTCTACGACGTCATCTCTCCGCCTCAGCGGCACCTGTCCCTCAAAGTCGTGCGGTATGCCATGCTCTACGCATCCCTTTCCGCATCCCCTACCTCGTTATCATCCAGGAGTATAGTTCACGGCGACCAACTCGGGTGTGTATGTCTACCATCTTGTACGGTAGACGACTGAACGTGGTCCAGCCATGCCTGAACATCGCGTCCCAAAGGACGGCCTCATCCTCGCCGTAAATGCTGGGTCGTCTTCTCTCAAGATCTCTCTGTTTCGCCGCACAAATACGCGTGCTGCCCAATCTAGCCTTGACGTCGTCGAACTACTCGTGATGTCTAGCATCACCGGCATCTCGTCGCCTCCCGCCTCTTTCAGTTTTCAGTTGGCGTCCCACAAACAGGGACGCGAAGCGAAGAAGCAGTCTCTAGACGGCATCGAGGATCATACCTCCGCATTTTATTACTTCCTCGACCACCTGCAGAACGAGAGCAAGATACGCAGGGAGTCAATTGTGCACGTCTGTCATCGCGTCGTACACGGTGGTGACTTCTATGAACCTGTAATCATCGATTCGGAAAGCTTTCGACACATTGAAGACCTGTCTGACCTTGCACCGCTGTAAGTCGTCGATTTTTCAGGTGTGGGAACAGATGAGCAACATCCTCCAGTCATAACGGCGCTGCACTTTCAGTCATGAAGAGCGCCATTGAGTCTCTTCCCAAGGCGAGCTCTATCGCCTATTTTGATACGTCATTCCATCGCTCCATACCACTACACGTGGCAAGCTATGCCATCGATCCCAAGGTCGCTCACCAGCGCGGCTTGAAGAAATACGGGTTCCACGGCTTGAGCTGTGAGTGGGTGGAACATTCGCTGTACCGTGACGTGCACTGAGCCTCATTTCAGACGCATATATCCTGGGTGCAGTGAGCCATTACCTACAAAAGGTGCGTCGCATTCAATGCCGGGCGCATACCATCTCATGCGTTCGCCCAAGGACAAGACCTCGCTCAACCTCATTGTCATGCATCTCGGCTCTGGTGCCTCCATCTGTGCGATCCGGAGCGGTCAATCACTCGACACATCAATGGGGCTGACACCCGTTTCCGGGCTCCCCGGCGCAACACGCAGTGGGCTCGTCGACCCGTCGCTCATCTTCCACTACACGAACCGTGCTGGGCGGATCACGCATGACCCGAGTCAGGCCGTCGACGTGCGCGTCACACAGGCGGAGGCGATCCTCAACACTGAGTCCGGGTGGAAGGCGCTCACGGGGACGTCTGACTTTGGCGAGATCGTCCAGAAGATGAAGGAGCACGGCGCAGCGCGCGGCAGTGACGTCGCTGACTGGCAGGGTGATGCGAAGTGGCGGCTCGCATTTGACCTGTTTGTGGACAGGATCGTCAGTTTCATGGGCTCGTATTACGTGCGTCTTGGTGGCAAGGTCGACGCGCTCGTATTTTCGGGCGGGATTGGTGAGAAGAGTGCTGAGCTCAGGGAGGCCGTCGTACGCCATGCGGAGTGTATCGGTTTCAAGCTCGACGAGGAGGCGAATGCGGAAGCAAGCCAACAGGAGTGTGCAGTGGTGAGCATAGGCAAGAGGACGGATGCCGGGTGCGTGTTGGTGTGTAGAACAGATGAACAGGTGTGTTTCGTCATTCGTTATGACATGTAGGCTGACGCGCGAACAGCTCGAAATGGCCCAGGAGTGCGCAATGACGGAGAAGTTCTGGCTGTGATGATCGGTGACTACGTAGCAGAGCTGCAGTTCATCGTCCCGCATGATCCATTACCATGTACTACAAGTACCCGGCGGCGACGCAGACCGTCTGGACCGAGTAACTCTGAACACTCTCGCAAAACTCGTATACCATAAGCGATGAACGCAACAAGATGCCGACATGGCTCACGAGGCTCGCGCGGGTGGACCCCTACTAATGCATCAAGCTGCTGAAGAATGAAAGGTGGTGCCATTATCAGGTGCACCGCGGCCTCACCGGGAAGAAGTAGAGGCTACTTGATTACTGTAGACACAACATACACTGATGATCGTCCGCACATGCGACTAAGTCAAACAAAGAATCCTCGCCATGTGCCAGACTACTACACTTCAGAGTGTATCATACCGCGGCCGAGGCCCCCTTGGTGCGCTTACTGAGTACCACGTCAAAAAAAGAGCTGGACTCTCAAAGCGATGGAACGGACACAAACGGGTACGGGTGTGATATGTATAGACATTCTTGCGCGTTGACGTCACTAAGGACGTGCGTCGATGCTATCGACCTATGGCGTCTCGGGCGCCTACTTTGGGCGCTTCCTACACCTTGTCCTCCTACCTTCCCTTCCATATCTATTCCTACCTTGTTTGGTGCATCTGGCACTAGCAAGCACCTCGAAGCGAAAGAAATAAAATGATTGCCTATTGCCCGGATCGAACGAGCGACCTCACCATCGGGGTTACGTAAGCACAGCATCTACCGTACCACGTCCTTACGAGTGGCGCGCTCTACCACTGAGCTAAACAGGCCTTGCGTTAATATCTTCAAGAGCAGTACACATACGTGACAGAGCAGTGGCTGCAAGGCGGAGGGATGACGCACTTCGATGATAGCGCGCTGCGAAGCTCGAAGACTGACGTCGTTGCAGCCACACTTTGACTTGCGTGTGGCACCTGCTGCTCTTCCACAACGCCTCGCATTCCATACATATACTTCTTCGCCGGCCATGGATATGACACCTCTGCCCGACCTTCACTCTCCAACCTTCGACGTTCCATCCTACGATGCCTGGCCAACAAATCCTCGAGCCCAATCCGCCTCCCGACCCATCCCAGCTACCCGACGCATTACTCGAGTATCGAGTTAAGCTCCATGTCAAAGGGACGCTTTCCAAGGATGAGCTCGATGCGATCTCTCAATTCAGGCGAGCAGCAGATTACATCGCCGCCGGTATGTATGAATCAAGCCCCCGTATCACAGTCCATTAACGCAGAGCAGCGATGATCTTCCTCAAGAGCGGTATTCTTGAGCGACGTGACCTTACCCCCGACGACATTAAGCAACGACTTCTCGGGCACTGGGGGACGTGCCCTGGACTGGTCCTTGTCTACGCACACATCAACCGCCTTGTTCGCAAGACCGATGCGGACCTGTTATATGTCGTTGGTCCAGGGCATGGTGCGCCGGGAATATTGTCGTGCCTGTGGCTGGAGAACACTCTGGGTCATTTCTGGCCGCGCAACACGCGTGATTTGACCGGATTGAGGAGCCTCATCAGTGGCTTTAGCGTGCCAGGAGGGTTCCCAAGGTATGCGTGCTACGCTGTCGGATGCTGCAGCTATCTTACTCGACCCATGCAGCCATGTCAACGCGGAGACTCCAGGCTCGATCCACGAAGGAGGCGAGCTTGGATACGCACTCAGTGTCGCGTTTGGCGCGGTCATGGACAAACCAGACCTCGTCTGTGTATGCGTCATCGGAGACGGCGAAGCTGAGACCGGGCCTACTGCAACGTACGTTGTTCCCCGCATCCTCTGCCCGACATTCCTGACTGTATGCTAGCGCCTGGCACGGCTACAAGTACATCGACCCCGCAGAATCCGGCGCGGTGCTGCCCATCGTCCATGTGAATGGGTTCAAGATATCCGAGCGTACGATTTACGGCACGATGGACGACAAAGAGCTCGTTGCGCTCTTTACGGGCTACGGTTACCAGGCGCGCTTCGTTGAGGACCTCGAGAACATCGACGAAGATATGGCGGCCTCCATGGACTGGGCGCTCGGCGAGATTCGTAGTGTACAAAGGGCAGCGAGGAGAGGGCAGCCGCAGGTAAAGCCGCGTTGGCCCGTTCTAATCATGCGCACCCCAAAGGCATGTAGTATATACACCCTCAAGGTTTCCCACTCACAGTAATCACGCAGGGGTGGGGTGGCCCGAAGAAGTTGGGCGGCGACTTCATTGAAGGATCGTTCCATGCCCACCAAGTCCCGCTACCAAATGCGAAGAAAGACCCGGAACAACTCAGAATGCTCCAGGAGTGGTTGGGGTCATATAAGCCAGAGGAGCTCTTCGACGACGACGGGGTGCCTAATGACAGGATCTTATCAATAATTCCGGCGGTATGAGGCAAATATTGCCAAAGGATCGAGTACTAATTGTTATCCTTAGAAGGCTGGGAAGAAGATCGGCATGAGGAAAGAGGCATACGCTGGCTATGTGTCCCTGCGCATGCCCGACTGGAAGCAGAAGAGCGTGGAGAAGGGTTGCCAAGAGAGCTGCATGAAAGTGATTGGCGAGCTGCTATTCGAAGTCATCAATGAGTACGCAACCGCGGCGTAGCATGCACAGGGCGCTAATCGCACGCTTAGGAATCCGCATACCTTCCGCATCTTCTCTCCTGATGAACTCGAGTCTAACAAGCTCGGCGCTACCCTCCGAACGAGTGGGCGAAACATGCAGTGGGACGTGGCGTCGCGGGCGCAAGGCGGGCGCATCATCGAGATCCTCTCCGAGCATACCTGCCAAGGCATGATGCAAGGCTACACACTGACTGGACGGACCGCGCTCTTCCCCAGCTATGAGGCCTTCCTCGGAATAGTACATACTATGATGGTCCAGTACAGCAAGTTCGTAAAGATGGCGCAAGAGACGAACTGGCGCCGCCCGATTGGCTCTCTCAACTACCTCGAGACAAGCACCTGGGCACGGCAGGACCACAATGGCTTCTCTCACCAGAACCCGTCATTTATCGGCGCGGTGCTGGCGCTGAAGCCTAAGATTGCGCGCGTGTATCTGCCGCCGGATGCGAATTGCTTCCTCTCGACCATGGCGCATTGCCTCGGGGCGAAGAACTACATCAACCTCATGGTCGGCAGCAAGCACCCGACGCCGGTATGGCTCAGCCCAGAGGAGGCGGACAAGGTGTGTCTGGTAGCTCCCTTGTTGGGTGCATACGCTTCAACTGACTGTTTGTCAACAGCATTGCATCGCTGGTGCTTCTATCTGGAAGTTCGCTAGTGTCGACGACGGCGTCGACCCGGACGTAGTGCTTGTGGGCATCGGCGTGGAGGTGACGTTCGAGGTGATTGCCGCTGCGGCGCTCCTCCGCCAGCGCCTTCCCCAGCTACGCGTGCGTGTGGTGAATGTGGCCGACCTCATGATCCTCGAACCCTACGGCGCACATCCGCATGCGTTGACGGGGCTCGAATTCGACGCTCTATTCACGAAGGACCGTCCCGTACACTTCAATTACCACGGCTACGTGAACGAGCTGAAGGTGAGAGCTGGTCCCTTCCGCTATGGAACGTGCAGACTGCTGATCTCCCGGCGCAGGGCCTGCTGTTCGGGCGACCGAACATGGACCGAGTCACGATGGAAGGGTGCGTCGCTTGCGTATCGCATCCGCTGATGCCCCACCCTCATTGCGCAACCCTACAGATACCGTGAGGAAGGGACAACGACTTCTCCGTTCTCCATGATGCTGCTGAACTACACGTCGCGCTACCACGTAGCTGCAGCTGCAGTGCGTGGCGCGGCGCGGCTAAACCCGCGCGTGGAAGTCGACGCGCACGTCGCCATCGCTGGGTTCATGCATGACGCGCAGAAGGCGCAGCAGTACATCAAGGAGCACGGAGAGGATCCGGAAGGTACTTTCAGCCTGCCAAAGTTTGAGTAGGTCTATCAGCTACCTGCGTACTGCCTGGTCCAAGTAGAAGCCGGGTCGTATTACAATATGGAAACAAGGCGCAGTCCCTTCGCGATATGGTGTATTGCGTCATAGTGCCGGCTCTTGGCCACAGCCCCGCTTCACCGGTGTAGTATTCGAGCGTTTTGCGAATTGTGGGAAGAAGCCACGACGGACTGTCTGACCTACAACGAAGTGGCGGGACAAACTGGTGCGTAAGGTTCGTTGCCTTGTTTGCCAATCTATCACATGTTTCCCCAGCGTGCCCGCGGAGAACCTTGAAAACAGTGCGAAGAAGCATGCAAAACGCGCTATCTGGCAGGTACTCTGCCAGACCTCATCCAGATAGGTGGTCCCTTTGCGAATCTCGTCACCTGCGCCTTATCGCTTCACACTTTGGCCACCACCGTGCCGCAGATATGTTATGTCTGGCTAGTGCTCCGTTTGAGAACCCCTGCCGTTTGAGAACCCCTGCCGTTTGAGAACCCCTGCCGTTTGAGAACAAGGTTCAGGGTTGTGATGCCTCATGGGCCTGCGCGGAAATGACTATGTCATATCCACTCCAGACATATCGCCATCCAGAGGAAATTCCATTGAAGAATTGTGTACGGCTTCGACAGCGTGGTCACAGCGCCTTCACCTACTAATACATCGAGGCACTTCATCGCTTGTGTTTTGTTCACCCCACCATGGACCTCATACAGAAGATCAACAAGAGTCATGGTCTAAGCGAGGGCGAAATCGACGCCCACCGCTCAGACGATGATCCCGTTGTCATTCTCCGCGGAAAATTAGAGCGGGCATGCCAGCGGTTCGTGTCCCATCCTAGATACCAAAGATATTGATGTGACACTTCATACAGGCTCTCTACAGACCTATACAACTCACAGAGCCATTTCATCCTCGAATTCGTACAGAATGCCGATGACAATCATTATGCTGCAAAAGCTGTCCCTACGCTCCGCCTATGCCTCAAGAATGACGAAGTGGTCATCGAGTGTAACGAAAAGGGCTTTGACGAGGCAAACGTCAAGGCTATATGCGACATTGGAGCCAGTACGAAGGCGACGGCCAAGAAGGCCGAGGGTTATATAGGTCAGTGAGGTCAATACACATGTAGGCGTGTCGCTGAAACGCTGCGCCAACAGGGGAGAAGGGCATCGGTAGGACTCGGACGTTATGACTCATCGTGGATATTTGCTGACTGTCTTCCAGGCTTCAAGGCCGTTTTTGTTGTCGCACACCAGGTCCATGTCGCATCGGGCCCCTTTACATTCCGCTTCGACCGCGATGCTTGCCTGGGTATGGTGAACCCAATCTGGGATGTGTCGCACCGCAGCAATCCTGGCTGGACAACCTTCCGACTAGCTATCGCACCCACCGTCAATCGAAGCGACTTGGAGGAACAAATTAGGGGCATCAGACCAACCTTGCTACTTTTTCTCCGCAAGCTGCGCTCCATCGACATCGAGATAAATATGCGCAAACGTACCCGGATTTCTGTGCGCCGTGTTGACGAGCCCGATAACGTCATCAAGCTCGAGCGATACGAAAAGGGGGTCTGCGTGTCTAGCCAGAAATACCTCGTATTCCGGCGAACTGTCCGCACGTACGCCGGTGAAGAAAAGAGACAAGGCATACAGCAAAGTGAAGTCGTCCTGGCTTTCCCCATAGACGCCTCTAGCAGGCCTGTGATAGGTCAACAGTATGTGCACGCATTCTTGCCTGTCGCAACATATGGATTACCTGTATGTGCTAATCTTGTCACACACTTCCGTGCTTTGACCCCAGGCCGCTTTAGTTCGTTGCTCAAGCCGACTTCTTGACGTCCGCAAGTAGAGAAG